TTGGTGACAGCAAGAAAAAGTAGTTTGAGACTCATGAGAAAGCAGCGATAGAAGATAAGCTGGTTGCTATTTCCTCCCGTTTACTGAAATATAGGGAAGAGGTACTTGAGAGAAAGTTGGACAAGTTTTGAAGGGATACGGTTGACTATTTAGAAGACAAAGTGTACTTTTGGAAACAGCAACGTGAGCCGCACAATTTCCAGAGGAGAAAAAAGAATACTAGTGACACTAGCTTGTCTGATTTTGAAGGGACATCAGGTGATTCAGAATCAGGAAAAAGATTGGGCAGGAAGGCAACAGCACCTGTAGCAGCCGAATCCAAGAAGAGGTATCCAGGGAGGACCAGTCAGCAAGCGAGATGCTGGTACTCAATATCTCGAGCAAGATGCTAACATCATCACAAGTAAGTGTACTGGAGAGAGGGTTTGGGTTTGTACCTACATACTCCGGGGATAAATTGAGTACCGATATTACCGAGTACCAAGGATGATTCATTTAAAGGGATTTTTGCATTCACAGGATTTACAGATGGATCATGATCAGCAAAGAGAGAGAGCTGAATCTACCAAATATGATCGAGCTAAGTGCAGACCCAAGAGTAGATTTCTTCCTCCCCTGACCAATGCCAGTATTGAGACTTTCATCAAATCCTGCCAGATGGACATTGATAGGATACAATGGAAGAAGAAATATGGATCCAATTTGAGTAAGAGTGAATTGCTGACGCTTTGTGAACTGAAAGAGGATCATTTTCTCTCTATTAGACCAGCCGATAAAGGTGATGCCCTGGTGGTTATGGACACTCAGAAATACATAGCAGAAATGGATCGACCGTTATCGAATGTGCACCATTATAGGATCTTTGATGGTGATCCAACAGGTGAGCTAGGTGCAATAATAGATGGAATTACCTGGAAGGCTTTGGATGATGGGTTAATTGAGAAGAGGGACTATAGTTTCCTCATTGTGGATAGCCCTAAGACCCCTTTCATCTATTTGTTGCCCAAGATCCACAAGGACCTGTGGAATCCATCGGGGCACCCCATTGTTTCGGGCTGTAGGTCGATACTACAGCCTTTATCTAAATTTGTGGACATACATCTGCAACAGTTAGTGAGTGGGATGCACTCCTTTGTGCAGGACACCACAGATTTTATCTGCAAGCTTGAAATGATGGGTACTATGGATGTCAACAGCCTATATACCTCCATACCACATGAGGAAGGCATTGAGGTGGTATTTGGTGCCATGCAGGGTATGGATATGAGTGAGGCCTATAGGGGTTTCCTTGTTGACTTGTTGTCACTAGTGTTGTATAAGAACTACTTCATTCTTGAGGGTAAATACTAGCTCCAAGTACAGGGGACAGCGATGGACTCTAATGTAGCACCAACGTACGCCAATCTGTTCATGGCAGCTTTTGAGGATGCTTTTGTATACCTGGATCAGGACTTCATGCGTTATGTGAGGTTTTGGCTCAGGTATATTGACAATGTTTTCTTCTTTTGGACAGGGAACGTGGATGATTTAATGATCTTTAAAGAGAGACTTGATGGATGTTTGGATACCATCTCCTTTACATTGGAATATGATCTCCATGAGATGCACTTTTTGGATGTTAACCTTCAGGTAAGAGGGGGTCGCCTATCATTTGACCTATACCGAAAACCCACAGATCGTGTTTCATACTTACATGCGGACTCCTTTCACCCAGTATCGTTCATCAGGAATTTGCCATACGGTCAGTTTGTTAGGACGCATAGAATAGTGTCTGATGAGGCTAAATATGATGCTAGGGCTGAACAGCTGGTAAAGGCATTCTCGTCTAGAGGATATGAAACGGATGTGGTTGGTGGATGTAAAGATAGGGCGAAGCTGCTTCCTAGGAGTAGCCACTTGCAGAAAAGAGCATGGGATGTTAATAAGGGTATCCCGTGAGTGTTGATGTATTCGACTCACTACCGTGAGGTTAAACACATCATTAACAAACATTGGAGAATTTTGCAATCTGATCCTAAGTTCTCGCCTTGTTTTAATGAGAGACCTTTATTTCCGTTTAAGCGGCATAAGAGCCTAAGGGACAATCTGATAAAGAACATTGATCTGCAGGGGAGGACAGATACAGCTGATACTTGGCTCTCTGCGACACCGGGTATGTACCGTTGTGGGCATTGTATTAATTGCAATGGGGTGGTCACGGGGGATCATTTCACACACCCAAGCTCTCTGCGACACCGGGTATGTACCGTTGTGGGCATTGTATTAATTGCAATGGGGTGATCATCAGACATTTTGCTGAGAAAAGACATACAGTCTTCCAACTACGGTACATGATTTTGGAGGTGGTTAAATCCAATAGGGGTGCATTCTGAGAGCGACTAGGTTAAAGCAACGTGAGTTGCACTGGATTTATGAGACCTAAGGGTCTAAATGAGGATAAGGATTTGTCTCTGTTTTTATAGTTCCAACAATATAGTTTACTCTGCCTGCATATTGTCTGTATCTTTATTTTTTGCTTTTAACTTCTTATAGATTGACACTGCAGTGGCCATTTGGACCATGGTGCTCGTTATGTTGGGATGCCGGATGATATCGGTTGGAATATATCATCTCTTATGTTGGACTGACTCACGCTCTTGTCATGATGACCTATCTTGTATATGTATATTTTTGGATGTTTTACATTATAGCTTATTTCATACTATAGCTGTATTTATGTGGATTCCGGACCTCCTAAGTATTGAGTATACTAGTGACGTGATGGGATTACCATGACTAGGAGAGCTTTATGCCATTAATAGTCTTTAATGGGGAATACAATAATGGTTGTTCATGTTATGACTATGCTGGTTGTACGAGTATAACCACTAGATTTATGGAGGTGATGTAATCATTACTTTTTTATATATGATATATTTTTAAGATGACCCTTTAATAATGTTGATACGTTTGCAGTTATATCTTTATAACGGATGATGAATGGCTTTCTTAATATATGGGTCACATTGGATCTTGTTATCATATACATAGTATGAGATTTATTGTGCAAACAATTGTGGTGATATGATTCTTGTTCGTATTTGTTAAAAAATTATGGGGGGTCTGCTTTATAATATCACTACTCTTATTCATGTAATTGCTAATTATTCGGGTATCTTTGCATGGTTGGCATCTTTAGTGATCAATTTATCACACATGGTGTATAGTATAAAATAAAAAATGTTTTGCACATCACTTGGTGTTTTGAATTTCTTTTCTTTTGTGTTTTGTCCGTTTATATTTGTGGGAGTTGATTTTATATAGGGGTGCACCCATCACACTTTATTTGCAAGGTGCATCTATTAGTATATATGAGAATTCTATTAACTTCATCAATATTTTCAGTCCTCTTGTGCATATATATTGAAGTGGAAATCAATCAATAAATTGATTATTTTGTGTATCTGCCCCTGGCCAAATTAAAGAAACAGTGCGAGCACGCTCCCTGAAGTAATTCACACCAGACACAAGTTTCAGGTTGATGAAAAACTTGAGGAATGTTTATTCAGAGGGGACAGCAAGTCCCTTTTAAAGCAGTATTACATCATATGCGTTGTCAGAGATAACATGAAATAATACATGATTAATTGGTTAGGTGTTAAGTGGTTTTCTTAATGCTCTGCCTACAAGGGGTGATGTCACTGGGACCATGAGGGTCTCCCCCAGATTCCAGCGCCATCTTGTTAAACGAGGTAGTTAGTCGATGTTAGGGGGGAAGCTCCTAGCGGCCATTTTAACTAATCACATATAAGCAGAATAATACTGATTACAGTTACATGAGTAAATAGACATTTTACTAGCTACAAATTATGTTAATATCTCTTTTCCACAACAGTCCCCCCTTAAAATGGCTATTTACTAAAAGACAACTACTACTGTCCCTAAGATGTCCCTAACTGCCTGCAGCTCATCTGTCTTAACGGGCTTCGAACGCTTCACTCCATGGGTATCCCGCAGCGGCTAATCCACTACATCTCCCACCTGAGACTCCTTCCCGTAGAGACAGACGCTATCCCTATGCTATCCCTACAGGAATGCAGTTGTCTGTTTAAATTGGTGAGACTGGAGGGGTGTATGTGGTGTGTCACATTCTATGTCAGTGATTTCTTGGTGTAGAAAGGTAGGAGTTACGTTGTCTATAATTTGTCCAACTGTCTTCTGCAAGTATTTCTGTATGCAAGGTAACACAGAACAGGTCAAGAACAGGAAAATGACTATCATTGTGAGAACCGCTGTCCCGACTTGGAACAAGGTTTTCTGCCATCCATTCATCCATCCGAACCATCTATCCCATGTGCTAGTGACCCCAGAATTCTTTTGTAATTCATCGGAGAGACTATCTAATTTCTCTGTTGCCATGGTTACTTTACCATTGGGTCCAGTATTATCTGGAATGAAGGTACAACATGTCATGGTGTCAGGGAGGACTTTACATACGCCCCCCTTTTCTGCTAGAATCATATCCAGGGCCATTCTATTTTGAAATGTCATTTGGGAGGTAGCTGGCAGTTGTTCTGCCAAACCCTGCAGGGCATCTTTAGTATAATTAACAAATCGCTGCTGGTTATAATAGATGTAGTTAATCCAGTTGACATTCTTGTTGGCAGTAATTAATGGAATCAAGGATTCAAACCCAGCAGCTACCTCATCTCTAGCCTTAAATTTGTTGGGTACCCCCCTTGGCACCCCAATGGCATTAATATAAACATGTGGATCAAAGCTGCCACGGATGGGGACTTCCCTTTTTGCTCTAGAATGTGTGTGGGTGGTATCAAATATACTTTGGTGACCATCTGGGATAATGTGGATA